TTGTGTTACTGTCTTCTGAATCAATGATAGTTGCATGTTCACATAGCCAATACTGTGATGGAAATTAAAGTAATTAAATTTTGCTGAACACACAAATTTGTAAGTATGATAACTATAAATTTGAATGGAAATTTACTTGCCAACAATGCAATGACACACCCTGTAACTTTTTCTGAAAATTTGTGTAATGCTGTGATAGAATCGATCAATGTTGATATGATTGCTTCTGGTCAATCATACTGCTTCATTGATTTAAGAGGTTCCACATACTTTATAAAAACTCACCCTATTGAATTCCCACTTGTTGCAAAAAAAAAAAAAAAGGGTGAGACACAAGTACAAGGTAACAATAATTGCTACATCTTTGAAGTCAGTTGGTTGCTTGCCTTTCATTGCTTTGACTAAGGCATTTTTAAGGACATGACTAGTGAGCCTTGTGTCCTTTGGGAATCTTCTCCTTAGAAATGCAAATTTTGGCTTTTTAGAGTATCTTAATGACATGGCTCCTTTACCTCCTTGCAAACCAAAAATCAAGGTCATGTCATTGGTTATAAAGGTCAAGTTCTTTTTACCAATTGTGAATGCTTTTATTTTTTCATTGTAACGTTGGATTATTGCAGCTACATCATCATCATATTTCCTAGATTTCCTTGGATCCATCCTTCCAGTGGTTAAAGCTTGGATCAAATATCAGAATGGGGTTTTTTGAAGCTCTACAAGTTGGTTTGAATTGAATTTAAGTGTTCGAAAAAAAGGAGACAACAAATGATAGGTTGGATCGGTATTGAATGTTGTAATGAGCTCTCTTTCTTTGAAGTTTAACAGGTTTTTTTCCCCCTGAGCTTGAGTCTTTTGAAGTTGGGGTATTCATCTTGATGCTAGTTGCTTCATCACCTTGGACTTGTGTGTTTTGGCAAGGAGTTTGTGGTGTTTTGGTGCTTATGGATCTTAGATCATAAGAAGACTAAGAGAGTTTCTGCTTCTTGCTCGATGTTTCTGGTGTTTTGCTACTTTTACGTTTTGCCATTTCTAGACAATGATGAAAACATAAAGATGTCAACATTAAATCCAAGAGAAAATTGAACATGCTAGAGAAAATTGGACATGTCAAAGAAAATTACACATAAGGGAGAAAACTAAGGTGGCCAGAGAAAATTATAAATGTCAGAGAAAATTAGACATTGAAAATTAAATGTCAAAGTACTAATTGTTTTCCTGTGGAATACATCTAGCCACATAAAATTTCCATTCCCAGAGAAAATCGACAAAGCAACATAAACATGCTAGAGAAATTTTCAATAATTGTTAAAATTACACATAGAAGTAAAATATAGCTAAAGAAAATTTAAAAAAGAAACATATATCTAGTAAGCACAGAAAATTATTGAGAAAGAAAAATAAACATGGCAAACCAGAGAAAATTTTCATTCCACAATTAGCAAGATAAAATAAACAAAGCAACATAAACATGTCACAGAAAATTACACAACATTGAAACCAAGAATTGAACAAAATAAAGATACCAGAGAAAATTGAACATGACAGGCTGACACAAGGGAGAAAACTAATGTGGCCAGAGAAAATTATAAATTCCAAAGAAACTTAGACACTGTGACGAGAATACTAGGTGTTTTCGTGTGGAATACATGTGGCCACAGCTAATTTTCACTCATAGAGAAAATAACCAAAGCAACATAAATATAACAGAGAAATTTTAAAAAATTGCTACAAATTACATATAGATGTAAAATATAACCAGAGAAAATTCAAGAAAGAAACATAAACCTATCAAGCATAGAAAATGAAAATGCCAGAGAAAATTACATATTCTAGAGAAAATTTACATACACAACCAGAAAAAATTAAACATGATAGAGACACACAAAGGAGAAAAGTGATGTGACCAGAGAAAATTATAAATGCCAGAGAAACTTAGACACAGACAAGAGAGTAATATTACATATAGATGTAAAATATAGCCAGAGAAAATTCAAAAAAGAAACATAAATTTAGCAGGCACAGAAAATGAAAATGCCTGAGAAAATTACGCATTCCAGAGAAAAATAGACATTCCAGAGAAATTTACAGATAAAATCACACAAACATGTCAAGAATAAGAACAAAACACAGAGAAATAACTTTTTTCAAAATAAACATGCTAAAGAAAATTCAAAGAAGAAACATACATCAAGCAAATACCAGAGAAATTCAAATGTCAGAGAAATTTACAGATAAAATCACATGAACATGTTGAAGAATAAGTTCAAAACACAGAGAAGTAACTTTTTGTCAAATTCATGTAGCTTTTTATTACGAAATTGAAACCCTAATTAATGGAAGGTTAATATAAAATGCAATTAACTGTGTTTCCAGAGAAAAACTAGTTGGATTGTAAAAAAACTTACCAGAGTTAGGATGAAACGCTAATTACGAACTGATATGCCCTGAGATGAAGATGCGATGTGACAAATATGAACTAAGATGATGATGAACAGTGAAAACGGGGTCAGCAAAATTTGTGAGGAAAGAATGGGAATGATATTTGCAGAAGATAATGAAACTCTAATGTCGATGGTGAAGATGATAATGAAACCCCAATTCTGCTGTTCTCTTGCTTGTGAAGATAGTTGGATGTTTGGAATGAAACTCAGTCGTCGGAATCTAGTTTCGTTTCTGTGTTGATTTGTGAAGGGTATTTTGATCCATGAAATAATTAAAAATGCGTGCCATATAGTTTAGGGACTTGATGCATCACCCCTTTTTTTGGTGTCCTTTATCTTCTAAATTACTATTATTATGGACATTAAAAAAAATTGGGAAAATTGGCCTAAGGTCCCTCCTCTACTTTTGATATGAGGAGAGGTCCTTTATAATATGTTTTGATGGCTAAGGTCCATTGTAGTAAAATTAATTTAGTTATAAGTAATAATTTATGATATTTTTTTGTCTTAAAATAATAATTTTTTTTTTGAAAATTTTAATTTTTTTTAGTACAATTATTACAATTTAAAATTTTAAAACTATCCTTTAATAGCACAATCATTACATTTCAAAAGTAATTTTGTTGTTTATTTCTGATGTATCAAAAAAAAATATTAATAAAATAATAAAAAAATAATAATATTTTAAGACGAATAGAATATAAATTTAATTATAATTTATGAGAAAATATTATAAATTTCAATTTTTTCACAAAATAAATAATTAAATAACTCAAATAAATATAAAATTTTCAAAATTACAAATCTTACATTTAACCAATTATTTAATAAAAATTTTAATATCCTCAACATTCCTGTAATTTATATATAACTCGCATGAATACACCAATTTTGTTGTACGGCACAAATCCCCTTAACCAATGAAACTTTTGAATGATGGACACCTGATAGAGATCTGAAGTGACTTTACATTTGACAATGGGAACAACATTATTATCTTCAAATCCTCGGCATTTGCGTGCAAGTAATCAAAGGCTCCAGCTAATATTTCTCCTGTAGCTATAATAGCCTACAACAATTGTCTCTCACCCTCACTTCCTTTTCTCGATAAATTATCCACCATCAGTCATTTTCGGCGTTCTTCTCATCACCGCATGTCTTTTGATAATATTTAGAGGTGGTTTGAGTTGTTCTGAATAAATATATTTTTTGATTTTTTATAAAAAGATATATAAAAAAATAGAGAAGAGATATGAATTGATATGACTTAAAAAAGATAAAAATATAAAAAAATGAACTAAAATAGAGTACCCCAAGTAAGACTTTAATTATTAAGATGTATTTTGATTATTAAAATATAAATATATTGACTTATTTAAATTATATTACATATATATTTAAAAATTTTACATAAATTTAAAAGATTAACTTTTTATTTTTTTTTACTTCTCAAAATAGGCCTAACTTCGGCAAACACTTTTGGATATTCGCTAGTATTGATCATCACATTTATCCAACTTCCATCTTCATTTATCAAATTTGACAACTCATAAAATCTATTTATTAGTTTGATTTTTATTTATTTTCAAAATATTTTTATACATTAAATAAGTTTTTGATTTTTGTAAATTGAAAATTAATAACCAAAAATTGAAATGTTAACAAATGAGACCTTATTAGTGTCATTATTTTGTATTAAAATTTAAAAAAACAACTTAAAAATGATCAACTAGTAAATAAAATAAAATATGATATCATTGAATATTTGTTTTTGTTTTCTTATCTGGATCCTTTTAATTATAGTGAAAAAACCAAGAACAATCAAAATCAGTTTTTTGAATTTGAAAACTGAACATGTCTTTGAAAACTCATAAATAGCTTTTTTTTCCCCCCTTTATATATCATGTATTTTTTTTTGAATTAGCAATAATTTTTCAATCTTTCTCTTCTCTTTATGCAGTATTTCCTATTTTAAAATAAATGAATAAATAAAAAATATTCTCTTTATGCAGTATTTCCTATTTTAAAATAAATGAATAAATAAAAAATATGCAAATATCAGATAGAGAATCCAAACGGAGAATCCAAAATGCTCGTGAACCAATCAAACGGAAGGTGAGGGCGTTTGGTTTATTTGAGGAGGAGATGACGGAAGTAGTGGGGTCTAAAACTCGAAACACCCTATGTTAAAAGGAAAAATTATTGATTGGTTTAGGGCTAGTCCTCGATCTCACCGATCACAATTTAATATGTATTTTATATTTTTTAATTATCTAATATAAATTTGTGGATCTCATCTCCTCTATCAATTACAATATTGTTGGGGGTATTATATGGCAATACCTCAAGACCAACCAATAACTTCTTAGGTTAAAGGCCAAAAAACGATTGGTAGCTCGAATTTGAATTTACAAAAATCGTCTAAATTTGTACATTTCAGTTGATTGTTCGAACAATCAGTGCAATATTTGTCTACTGCGATTGTTACACTGAGCCTGCCACCTTATTACTAGATGATTGACCAAATGTTTAATAAGTCAAAATTCGAACGGTTCAGATAAGTTAAAATTCGGAGCCATGTAGCATTGCTGTTAAAGACGCCTATGGTGTCGGTGTGTGACTGATTCTTAAAACTTTATGAAACCCTGCACACTTTTCACAGATTTGGCAAAAATTTCCATTTCGGGCAATGGACTTCCCTTCCCCTTACTCTTTCTTATTCCTTGTTTCATTGCTTTATTCATCTTCATCTTCATCCAAATCCAAATCCAAACTCTCATCAGAAGAGAACAAGAACAAGAACAAGAGCAACCAAGTTTTGCAGATCGAAAATGGCGAGAGGAAAGATCCAGATCAAGCGGATCGAGAACTCCACTAACAGGCAAGTCACGTACTCCAAGCGACGAAACGGTTTGTTCAAGAAGGCCAACGAACTCACCGTTCTCTGCGATGCCAAAGTCTCCATCATCATGGTTTCCAGCACCGGCAAGCTCCATGAATTCATCAGTCCCTCCACTTCGTACTTCTCTCTCCTTAAACCCTAGCTTTCTCGATTTCTCGATTTGGAGCTCAAAACCTTTTTTTTTTTTTTTTGGCATTTTGTTATAAATCGCATAGAACGAAGCAAATGTATGATCAGTACCAGAAGGCATTGGGGATCGATCTTTGGTGCTCGCACTATGAGGTCTGTAAATATACATATATATACACATAGAAATACATATTAGTATAGGTTTGTGTTATGCTTGTGTTGATTGTGCAGAGAATGCAAGAGCACTTGAAGAAACTGAAGGATGTGAATAAGAATCTCAGGACGGAGATTAGGTAATTGTGACTAGTTATTGCTCTGATTTGTTGTTTTTGTAGGTTTTTGAAGTTGATTTTTGCGTTGGTTTTGGTTTGATAGGCAGAGGATGGGGGATTGTTTGAACGATCTCAGCTACGAAGAACTGTGTGGTCTTGAGCAAGATATGGAAAGTTCTGTGAAGATAATTCGTGACCGAAAGGTTCAGTATGAATTTTTATTTTTATTTTTAACGTTACATTTCTTATTATGAATTTATTTTATTTAACTGAACATACAGCTATTAACAGAGTAGAATGATGGTATGTTTGGTTTAGCTTTGTAGAGTGATTTTAGAAAAAATTTTCTAAAAAACTTGTTTGGTTTATAATTTTTCCAAAATCATTTTCAAAATCATTTTTTCTCTTTTACATATCAATCAATCCCTTTTTCTCTCTCCTTTCTCATTCTCAATCATTTTTTCTCTCACACATATTTACTCAATTACAACAAAATATCAAATTATTCCAAACTCTCAAATTCCAAAACTATTTTCAAAATACACAATCAAACAAACCAAAAAAATTTCTAAACTCTCTCCAAGACAATTTTTAAAAACTATTCTCTCAAAACCAAACCAAACCAAACATACCAATGTATTTGAGGATATGATTCAGTTGGGCTCGTTGGGAAATCTTGCATTCAACAAAACCTTTCTAATTATTTAGTTTGGTTTAGGTTAACATAATACAGTTTAATATCTCCTACTTTATAAAAAAAATCAATTGAAAGCCAAAATTTCAATCAGACAATTGATTTGGTTCTATTGATTTTTCGTACACAGTTAATTAGGAGACAAGACTTCATTTAATTCGATAACTAGATCTCCATCATATATTGTGCTTTTTCTGTTTTTGGGTTGCATTGATAAGATTTCAGTTTGAAAAGTGTGTTTAATCTTTCAAAAGTGAATATTTTTTTGCTCAAATGCTCTCTCGTTTTTGGTTTACCAAGGACAAAGTTTTCCAACTTCCGTTTTCTATTGCACCATAAGTCAAACATACTAGAAACATTGTCTGCGGAAACAAAAGGGGTAAAGGGGCTGCTAGTTTTTTTCAAACCACCCTATAAACCTTGCAGATATTGAGATTAAGCAATCTACTTAAAACTGATGGTCATTCTTCATTTTCTTCTTTTATTTATTAAAAAAAAAAAAGGGTTACCCATTAACATACTAATCAAAATGTCGGCTATTCCTCCCAAAATTTTAAAATGTGAGCCATTCCTCTTAGGGTTGAGCAAGAAATTCGTATAATTCGTAATCTGATTTGGTCCAGTCCAATCTGGTAAGTTTAGGTTGATTTTTTGAATTCGTGGTTCGGTAAGTCAAACATACTAGAAACATTGTCTGCGAAAACAAAAGGGGTAAAGGGGCTGCTAGTTTTTTTCAAACCACCCTATAAACCTTGCAGATATTGAGATTAAGCAATCTACTTAAAACTGATGGTCATTCTTCATTTTCTTCTTTTATTTATTAAAAAAAAAAAAGGGTTACCCATTAACATACTAATCAAAATGTCGGCTATTCCTCCCAAAATTTTAAAATGTGGGCCATTCCTCTTAGGGTTGAGCAAGAAATTCGTATAATCCGTAATCTGATTTGGTCCAGTCCAATCTGGTAAGTTTAGGTTGATTTTTTGAATTCGTGGTTCGGTACGGATTGGTTTCGGATTAAACCCTATGGTTCTGAATTTGAACCGATTCGGATCGTATACAAATAATCTATATTTATACTATAGATCCTTCCACATAATATTATTTCTTATTCCATATAAAAGTTAAATCCTTATTCCATGTTACTACTATGCTTTTGTTTGTTTGTTGCTTCTGTTTATGGAGTTTTGTTACTTTTGTTTGTCTAAAACCAGTTTTCTTATTACTTTTGTTTGATACTATATTTAGTTTTAATACAAAGGAGAACTCTGTTTTGTTTAATGTATATTCAGTTTTATTGTTTTTGTTTGTTGCTTTTGTTTATTACTTTTATTTGATGTTATGTTTATGTTTTTATGAAATTAAAATGTTCTATTTTTTTTTGTTATTTAATTATGTAAATCCGTAGTTTTAAACCGATCTAATCCGTATTTAAACGGATTGGATTGGTTTCAATTTTTTAGGAACCATAAATAACGAATTGGTCTTGATTTTACTCTATTCTGGATCAATCCAGACCATGCTCACCCCAAATTCCTCCATATAAAAGTTTGTGTTTGGTCAAATTTTATTAACAAGTAAATTTTTGTAATGAATTGCAGTATAAAGTGCTCAATAATCAGATTGAAACTCAAAAAAAAAAGGTTAGTTATTTGGCAATGTGTACTTGTTCATTTCTTTGTTGGTAACTTTTCCCTTTCAATTCATCTAAACTCTGATCTCTGTTTACAGAAGAGAAATGTGGAAGAAATACACAGAAATCTACTACATCAAGTAGTAAGCATGCTTCATTATATTTACTTTATTTATATATATATTTCGTATGCCGTTGAATTGGAAAGGACAAGAAGTTTATAAAATGGCCTTTTCATTTTATAGAACTCAAAAGAGGAGGATCCACAGTATGGTCTAGTCGATAATGGAGTGGATTACAACTCTATTCTCGGATTCTCAAATGGAGGCCATGGTATTTTGGCCTTGCGTCTGCAGCCTAATCACCATAATCTTCATGATGGAGCAGGATCGGATCTCACAACATATGCTTTGCTCGAGTAGAGCATCTAATTAAGGTCACATAACACAGCTCGATTACTGCTATGACATCTTAAAACCATAAATAATTGAACTTCTATTATGCGAATGTTGTTTTTTGGTTTTTTGCCTAGCCATGACATTTTACTGTTAATTTCCCTATGTATTTTAGTTAGAAAATTTTTAGTATTATGTGTATTGTAGTGTTAATTTAGTTAATTATCTTTCGTTTCTTTAGAAGTACTATGTGTTGAGTTGCATGTATGCTTTCCTTTGTGTGGTGCTTGCATTCGCAAAATGACTTCTTCAATCCATTATTCGTGAATTTTCTTTGCTTAAATTTATTCAGTTCCTATTTTTCGTTCTTTACAAATAATGACCTTTTATTTTGCACTGCCTGAGTATTAGTTTCGGGCTAATTATATAATTTTTGACGAATTGTTACCTCAAATGGCATTTAGGGGTGAAGACTTAAGAATTTGCCTATTACTAAGATATATTTGTTATCATTTGCATGCCAAAATTTAAGGTAAAAACAATGCATTTATTAAGCTAAATGCAAAATAACATATTTAATGAACTAATCATATAAACATTAAACTATAATAACATTTTCAAGCTTAGAGAGTATATTACCAAGATAAACCATCTTTCACATTGCTCTGAGCTTCTGACTTACCAACTTCTCAAGACTAAAAAAATGACATTAAAGACGGTGAAACACATCAAAAATAATACCCAAGTTTCACGACCTGTGATGATTAAAAATAATTTCAAAAGTTGGCAAAGATATTAAAACACTGAAATTCGATACAAAAGGTTAAATTAGTATGGAGTCCCGAATAAATATCAAAATGTAACATGAGATAGAAGCCGAGACCAAAACCGTGATAATAATAACAAAATTACCAATACAGTGATAAATCGACTTCATTGTTTTATCCACTAATGCTGCAAAAAGAGAGGAAAAGAGATATGAGTAAATAGATTTTCAAGCTAACAAGAACCATGGGTAAATATAAAAAGAAATAAAAACACTCCAATTGTTTCGGTAGAAATTATTTTGTGGAGAAAATGTTTTCATATGATTGGTTGCATTATTGAACTATTGTACTAATAATTCATTAGCAAAAATATTCAAAAACAAATAGAACATCATACTCGATTTTATGTCAGGAGTGATAAAGAATTACCTACAAATTGATCAAACAAGTGACAAAGAATTACCTGCAAATTAGGGAAAAATAACTTGGGAATTGTTTTATGATTCCGAAACTTAAACTAAAATGTAGGTTCTAATAGGTGGACTTCTTATCCAATAGGTTTTATGATAATTAATGACGTTTTTCATTAAATATTATTAAAAAAATCACTAATTGTTAATTATAAATGACAGTTTGAAATTTTTTTCACAAAAAATATCACTAATTATGAGTTATAGTGATAGTTTAAAAAAATTGTCATAAAAAAGTCACTGATTTTTAACTTTTAGTGACAATTTAAAAAATTCGTCATAGGAAAACGTCACTAATTATAAGTTTTTGCGACAATTTATAAAAATAGTGACCAAAAAAGTCATTAGTTGTCAATTTTTAGCGACATGTAAACAATTGTCACAAAAAAATTATTTTTAGCAATGATTTTATTATAAATTATTTTTAATAGGACTTATAAAAATTTCGTACAACTATAAAGAGACGTATCAGTAGTTTGAGTGAATTGATAAATTTCTTGGTGTTGTTTATATAATTTTTAGCAATAATTTTATTATAACTTATTTTTAATAGGACTTATAAAAATTTCGTACAACTATTAAGTAGGGGTGAGCATGGTCCGGATTGGACCGGATTGAGGTAAAACCAGGACCAATCCGTTATCTACGGTTCTTGAAAAATTGGAACTAATCCAATCCGTTTCAATCATGGAACCAATCCGAACCAATCCATTTAAACACGGATTGGATCGGTTTAGGACCACGGATTCACATAATTAAATAACAAAAATATATATATATATATATAACACTTTACTTTCATAAAAACATAAATATAGCGTTATATTAGTTCCACAATAGCAACATGTTTTTCTATAATAGCGGGCATACTGTTCTAGAATTTAAACAACCATAAGAAAACTAATTTCTCCATATTTAGAACATTACAAATTAAAATTAAAAACTAACAAATAAAAGAAAATATTATACGGGTTTAGGTTTGAGTTTAGGTTTTATATAGAATAAGAGAAGATATTATGGGGGAGGATGTATAATAAAAAGGGGTTTTTTTTTTAAGGTCCTTGATATTATGATTTTATAGCATAAAGGACATCAAATATTTTTATGATGTCTAAGGTCCATCAACAATATTTTCATAATGTCTAAGGTCCCTCAACCTTGATCCAGAGAAATTTCAGTCCAGAGAAAATTGGTCCAGAGAAATTTCAGTCCAGAGAAAATTGGTCCAGAGAAATTTCAGTCCAAAGGTCCCTCAACCTTGATCTAGAGAAATTTCAGTCCAGAGAAAATTGGTCCAGAGAAATTTCAGACATAAGGTCCCTCAACCTTGATCTAGAGAAATTTCAGTCCAGAGAAAATTGGTCCAGAGAAATTTCAGACATAAGGTCCCTCAACCTTGATCTAGAGAAATTTCAGTCCAGAGAAAATTGGTCCAGAGAAATTTCAGACATAAGGTCCCTCAACCTTGATCTAGAGAAATTTCAGTCCAGAGAAAATTGGTCCAGAGAAATTTCAGACATAAGGTCCCTCAACCTTGATCTAGAGAAATTTCAGTCCAGAGAAAATTGGTCCAGAGAAATTTCAGACATAAGGTCCCTCAACCTTGATCTAGAGAAATTTCAGTCCAGAGAAAATTGGTCCAGAGAAATTTCAGACATAAGGTCCCTCAACCTTGATCTAGAGAAATTTCAGTCCAGAGAAAATTGGTCCAGAGAAATTTCAGACATAAGGTCCCTCAACCTTGATCTAGAGAAATTTCAGTCCAGAGAAAATTGGTCCAGAGAAATTTCAGACATAAGGTCCCTCAACCTTGATCTAGAGAAATTTCAGTCCAGAGAAAATTGGTCCAGAGAAATTTCAGACATAAGGTCCCTCAACCTTGATCTAGAGAAATTTCAGTCCAGAGAAAATTGGTCCAGAGAAATTTCAGACATAAGGTCCCTCAACCTTGATCTAGAGAAATTTCAGTCCAGAGAAAATTGGTCCAGAGAAATTTCAGACATAAGGTCCCTCAACCTTGATCTAGAGAAATTTCAGTCCAGAGAAAATTGGTCCAGAGAAATTTCAGACATAAGGTCCCTCAACCTTGATCTAGAGAAATTTCAGTCCAGAGAAAATTGGTCCAGAGAAATTTCAGACATAAGGTCCCTCAACCTTGATCTAGAGAAATTTCAGTCCAGAGAAAATTGGTCCAGAGAAATTTCAGACATAAGGTCCCTCAACCTTGATCTAGAGAAATTTCAGTCCAGAGAAAATTGGTCCAGAGAAATTTCAGACATAAGGTCCCTCAACCTTGATCTAGAGAAATTTCAGTCCAGAGAAAATTGGTCCAGAGAAATTTCAGACATAAGGTCCCTCAACCTTGATCTAGAGAAATTTCAGTCCAGAGAAAATTGGTCCAGAGAAATTTCAGACATAAGGTCCCTCAACCTTGATCTAGAGAAATTTCAGTCCAGAGAAAATTGGTCCAGAGAAATTTCAGACATAAGGTCCCTCAACCTTGATCTAGAGAAATTTCAGTCCAGAGAAAATTGGTCCAGAGAAATTTCAGACATAAGGTCCCTCAACCTTGATCTAGAGAAATTTCAGTCCAGAGAAAATTGGTCCAGAGAAATTTCAGACATAAGGTCCCTCAACCTTGATCTAGAGAAATTTCAGTCCAGAGAAAATTGGTCCAGAGAAATTTCAGACATAAGGTCCCTCAACCTTGATCTAGAGAAATTTCAGTCCAGAGAAAATTGGTCCAGAGAAATTTCAGACATAAGGTCCCTCAACCTTGATCTAGAGAAATTTCAGTCCAGAGAAAATTGGTCCAGAGAAATTTCAGACATAAGGTCCCTCAACCTTGATCTAGAGAAATTTCAGTCCAGAGAAAATTGGTCCAGAGAAATTTCAGACATAAGGTCCCTCAACCTTGATCTAGAGAAATTTCAGTCCAGAGAAAATTGGTCCAGAGAAATTTCAGACATAAGGTCCCTCAACCTTGATCTAGAGAAATTTCAGTCCAGAGAAAATTGGTCCAGAGAAATTTCAGACATAAGGTCCCTCAACCTTGATCTAGAGAAATTTCAGTCCAGAGAAAATTGGTCCAGAGAAATTTCAGACATAAGGTCCCTCAACCTTGATCTAGAGAAATTTCAGTCCAGAGAAAATTGGTCCAGAGAAATTTCAGACATAAGGTCCCTCAACCTTGATCTAGAGAAATTTCAGTCCAGAGAAAATTGGTCCAGAGAAATTTCAGACATAAGGTCCCTCAACCTTGATCTAGAGAAATTTCAGTCCAGAGAAAATTGGTCCAGAGAAATTTCAGACATAAGGTCCCTCAACCTTGATCTAGAGAAATTTCAGTCCAGAGAAAATTGGTCCAGAGAAATTTCAGACATAAGGTCCCTCAACCTTGATCTAGAGAAATTTCAGTCCAGAGAAAATTGGTCCAGAGAAATTTCAGACATAAGGTCCCTCAACCTTGATCTAGAGAAATTTCAGTCCAGAGAAAATTGGTCCAGAGAAATTTCAGACATAAGGTCCCTCAACCTTGATCTAGAGAAATTTCAGTCCAGAGAAAATTGGTCCAGAGAAATTTCAGACATAAGGTCCCTCAACCTTGATCTAGAGAAATTTCAGTCCAGAGAAAATTGGTCCAGAGAAATTTCAGACATAAGGTCCCTCAACCTTGATCTAGAGAAATTTCAGTCCAGAGAAAATTGGTCCAGAGAAATTTCAGACATAAGGTCCCTCAACCTTGATCTAGAGAAATTTCAGTCCAGAGAAAATTGGTCCAGAGAAATTTCAGACATAAGGTCCCTCAACCTTGATCTAGAGAAATTTCAGTCCAGAGAAAATTGGTCCAGAGAAATTTCAGACATAAGGTCCCTCAACCTTGATCTAGAGAAATTTCAGTCCAGAGAAAATTGGTCCAGAGAAATTTCAGACATAAGGTCCCTCAACCTTGATCTAGAGAAATTTCAGTCCAGAGAAAATTGGTCCAGAGAAATTTCAGACATAAGGTCCCTCAACCTTGATCTAGAGAAATTTCAGTCCAGAGAAAATTGGTCCAGAGAAATTTCAGACATAAGGTCCCTCAACCTTGATCTAGAGAAAT